ATGCACCTACAAACGCCTCAATTTTAAACAGTTGCAAAACATCACATACTGAACTGAAACAATGAGAGCCCATTCTTGTATGACACCACTTTTTGACATGTCTAAGGTGGTCCTTCGACTGTATTTGAACCAATTCTTGTTGTAGTATTCTAGAGAGTTTGTTGAATGTGACAAACTTGCACTGCCAAAATGGACACAAAGTCATTCGTGGAAATTATACATGGTAATGGCAATTTTGCATTACCATCATTCCATTTGGAACTATGAAAGACTATATCGAGATTCTTGCCTGGGTAGAGGGTGTGGAAAAATGTCACGAGAAACAAGTTCTTTTTAGATTTTTATTTCAATTCTATTTTATATGCATCTAGCGATAACTCTCTGCATGCATGATACCGGCGGCCCCCCAATTCAATGTGGTGTAGATGCTGTGATCTGCGCATGCGTAGTCTTAAAAATCAACATTGCGTGGGAGGAAGGGGGTAATTTTTCCAGGGCGATCGAAAACCAATCACATTGGGGGTTTTATTAAAGAACCAATCAAATTGTCGGTTAGACAATGGGACGGTATGTTGCTTAACTCTTTTTTTGTCACCAAAAAGGCCCTCAGGTGTTGGAAAGGGTTACGTGACAGGAAAACTTCCCAATCTCTGCAGATTTCGTGGCGTCTTATAAAATTTATACTTTCTTTCAGAGGTCTAGTGTTGCACCTTCAAATGTGTATTCTCGTTTAGATGCCTTTTAAAATCGATATTAATTTGAAATGGTTTCTTGGAATGTCAAAACCGAACAAACTACAATCAACCTGATCAATGCTGGCAACAGAATAAGACCATGTTATCGTATTAAATTAGTTCTTGTTATAAAATGAGTCCATAAAAATTACCAACCAATCTGCGGTGGCTTTCGAGAGAAGAACCATTTCTTCAAAGTTCGCTTTTTAGTTTAATTTAAGATTAAGGATCTAAAAGTTTCTAGTCCAGAGGAATCCGGCCGCATTATGGCTCATGAAAACGTGCTCTTTTTCAATGGAGATTACGAAACAAATAGCTCAAAAGTCACGGATGAGAATATGAAGTGCCCAGCTCTATTTGAAAGGAGCTACAAATACTAGTATTTACGCTTATTTACGGCTTGCAGCAAGATTGCCCGAACTACCGTCAAAGTTTGAAAGGCTAAACTGCTACCACTGGTTCTGCTCCGAGTACAGGAGAGAAAATCAGAGCAAGTTTTTTTAACCGATCACTTGCCAAGTGATCATTGTTGAGGTTCACATCGCTGAAACAGACCGGCGGAGATCGCTGTTTAGCGAGCGAGAGTTACTACACTCCATGTAAGCGTTGCTTGAAAATTTTAAAGCTTCTCATCATAAACAGGGACAGCTCAATTGGTGATTTCTGTCATTGTTTTGCATCTTAAGTATAATTTCTGCTTTTGTAACAAATCTAATGTCTTTTATCGAAGCATTCGTTAGGTTATGAGAATTTGTTTATTTTGCTCAGTTTTTTAATACAGTTTTAACACGACTGTTGTTAAAAATGGCCTTTATGCAGCTATGTTTACTATAGACAAATAGCTCGTTTCCATTGCGTTTGTCCGAGCCACAGGGAACGTCCCATTTGGGCCAAATATAATTTGTTAAAATTCCAAAGCAAAAATTTGAAATTCAGCTTACATACATCTGTAATCTGATGAAGCACATTTCAGCCAATCAGAGCAAGCGTTATATGGAAACTTCATTGTAACAATGTATATTAGAAGTGTCTGTCAAAAAGTATCTTAAAAACATAAGCCCGTCTTGCGCTTTTCGACGTTAAAGTATTGTGGGATACATTCTTGTGGCAGTAAGCATTTGGCTTTTTATAGTTCCACTGCGTCGTTTTCGTTTACCTTAGTAAAACGTTTTATTGAATTAATTGAAGCGTTCACTTTGAACTGAAGTTAGAATTGTTCCTGTTGTCTTAAAATGATGAACGAACTACCATAATCGCTTGGGTTATGCATGTATTATCACAAAATGAAATTTCCGCAATTTCAAGGACCTTTACAACTGAGCAGGCAATACTAAGACCAATTTATGCTTGACATGATCTCCAACAATTTTTGGACATTTTTAAACTAAATATCCCTGTAATGAAAATTTCTTTTCACCTCAGACCTAGGAAAATGTTAATTTAACGCATTGCTTGTTGGTTAAACTGAAGTACGGTTGTTTTACGAAGTATAAAAAGACGTGAAACCTACAAAGGGCTGTGTACTAGCCTAAATTACACTTGAAGATACATGACTGATTGTGTTATATAATAATTTCTTAAAAGGTTTGCTTTCCTGACAGTTTAAAGTATAACCAAGATCATAACTGTTTCAGGTTGTCAAATCAATTACAAAGAAATTCGTTGCCACCTTAACAAAGATACAGAAAATGTTTTAGTTCGGTAGCTTTTTACAAACGAAAAAGAAATGAAAAGCGAACAAGTGAACAAGAAGTTGTCGCTTACCGTTTAGGTTTGGCCTCTGAGATGTGAGTGATTAAATGAATCGAGGGCGAGCATTTAAATAATGTGAACAAGGAATGAAACTGTCACTGGGTTGCATGCTTAAAATTCCTCTGCTCCGCCTTCGGAAACGAAGATTGATTATACCAGTGACGCACGGAAAAAAATAACTGAATCATCACTTAGCGATTAATGAAACGGCCTTTGCGATGATTAGTGTTGAGGGAGGCATTCTTTTATGCAAAACAAAATATTTCTCGCCGAATTTAATAGGGGATCATTTGTTCATTTGTTCATTTGTTAGGCCAGCCCAACTTACCTTGGAATTTGTATAAGCTTTGTTACACTCGCTGATTACTTAGCTTACGCAGGAAAGTTTCATGATCAGTTCCGATTTTTTTTGTCTAACATGCTACAAAAAACATATAGTTTAATAGCAAGCATTTATCATAGAATCCGCTAGCAGAAAGGGGAAACGTTGACACTTTAATTGATACCCAATAATTTTTGACGAGCAAATCACTTTGTCGGAAGTGGAATAACAATGTTTTCGATTTTGGAGTGGCCGACCTCATAAAACACCAGTTATGTCAATTCTGTCAATTCTGTCATTTTTGATTGTTCGTCAATGTTTTCGATATGCAAGCAAAAGCTGAGCCAACCTTAGCACTTATATCCGCTATTTTAGGCAAAAACTGGTGAAAGGTTTTTTTTTTTTGTTTTGTTTGTTTCTGAAAGTTAAACAAACGGTTGTTATTCTGCACCAAAACGAAGTTAATGCTAACGAACAAAACACCGCTGCTGTCGTTTTTCTGTCTTGGCATCTTGCATTTGATACTGTTTCATCTATTAAGAGTCACATATTTATTGCTATGTCTAATTGATCAATAATATTTTTTTTTAAGCTTACGAACAGTTTGTTTCGGGTGCCCGGTTTGCACCTGTTCATTGTGGCACACCAAAGGAAGTCAAAGACTACAAAGACAATCCTAAAGTCGTACACGGGCTGCCTACAGAAAAGCCAACCAATATTTTTACCCCAATAAGGCTACTAAATACTTTCAGATATGCCTTTCAGAGTTAAAAAGGATACATTTAGCATCTCGCTTCATCGCTAGCAAAATCTGTTTTCCTAGGCGTCCTTTTTGACTGACATCCGACTCTAAAATTGCCGAGTTTGTTCATGTCCTTAACGTGAGGGAAAGTATTTTGGTGAAAACGCTCATTTACTTTCCATAGTTAGAAAGATTTCAAACCTCGCTTTCCGTTCAAATACAAAGGCAAGGTTCGAACACTTTGAATGAACCTAATTTCAGTCACCTTGCCAGCTCATTATTACAAGGGTAATACTTAGTAAAACTGAATTAGAAGGGTAACGTGAGGAAATCAAGTAACCTCTTGAGTGACACAACCATCTGCGTTTGTAATGGAATCTTGAGCTTCATGTATTTCTAGATCAGAAGAATGTTACAATCTTTATCTTTCAGTTTGCATTGTTGTTCCACCTCATAATAAAATCCTATTGCCAACAAACTATTTCCGCTTAACAATCGCTAAGTGAAATGTCTGTCTTTCTTCTTCGCCTCTCTCATATTTCATGGCCTCACTGCCAAAGTGGAACAACCAAACAAGACCTCCTAATGCATTCTTAGCCTGTTTATGATTTTTAGAATAAAAAATGTTGACCGATGATCGAATGAAACATTCTAATTCTTAAATTCTAAACCTAAAACCGTCCTTAAATAAAGCAATGTACTTCGGCTCAAAAAAGGCAAGTGTTTATTCTCTTGCATTCCCAAAGACCATTTGTCGCAGTTTGGTACAGGCAGTGTAGCTATTACACAGATTAAAGCAAACTGTTTTTCGTTTTTGTTTTTCTAATGAAACATTCGAGCCTGGCAATGAAGAACCTGTTCGAACAGACAACGGCCCTGACTTACCTCTTCATTCTCTCATAAGGAACAAAAGTCTTGATCACTAATTGCTTTGCGGTGACCCTTTTAGGTGATCGTGAGGTAGTTAAGACATGCACTCGTGCATTACTTGAAACAGGAACACGTTCAGTCAGCTCACCTTCTGTGAAATTTACATCCGCTCATCAAAGACCAAAGTCCGTTAAGCTGTTGGCCTCCAAGTGTTTTGTTTACAGAGAAGTTTTATCCCGTGCAGTTTTAAATCGTGCAGCATACTGTGAATTCACTGTTCTTTAATATGACACTGCCTAGGAAAGACGATTAATGATATTGGCTTCGGTGTAGATAACAGAACCATATTCAATCGGCCAACCCACTTTAGAATTCGTATTCACTTATCAGATCAAAGTCTTTTCTGCTGTTGGTCACTAATTGCCAACGCATCTCGAAGAAAATGGTTGGCCCCTGTTGATACCCAACTTCGTAAAGCTATTACGCAAGAGGGTAAACATATAGTCTGTTCGCATTTAACAAATATTTAATGTGGTGTTTACAACGGAGGTTATACTAAGCTTTCAATTTTCTCATTTTTGCAAAACAACTCCAATCCGTTTAAAACAGGAAGGAATGACAAGGATATTTGAAACTTTGAATTAACGTATTTCACTGAGCTCCAATTATGTTTTTAACCAATTTGGGAATTCTCGACGAGTTTAGAGAAAGTGAAACCTCAATTTGTTGAACTGTCGATTCTCTATCCTCCCGATTATTCGACGCAATTTTTTACCCCGTTCAATAAATTGAAGAAATTTCTTTCGAACCAAATTCCTTTGGTGTGGGATTAAAATTTTGGGATTCCACTGTATCTGCAGCCTAATTTCTGAGTGTTGAAATAAAATGCTTCCTTCATTAGGGTTAAAGGCTTCAGTAAAATAACGCGTCGACCAAATCATTAGTTTCCCTGGTTCACGAATGGAAAGAACTAAAAATGTTCTAAATATGGGTTAACACAGGTAACTTCCTGGTAACAGCATTCAAACAAGGAATAAAAACAACCCAGCTCAAAGGCAATTACCAAACCACGAAGGTAAAGTGCCATTATTTGAAGATGAATAGATCACGAGATCAAGCGTTAAACAAGGAATAAAAACAACCCAGACCAAAGGCAAGTACTAAACCACACCCGTAAAGTGCCATTATTGAAGATGAATAGATCTCGAGATCAAACGTGAAACAAGGAATAAAAACAACCCAGATCAAAGGCAATTAATAAACCACACCCGCAAAGTGCCATTATTTGAAGATGAATAGATCTCGAGATCAAACGTGAAACAAGGAATAAAAACAACCCAGATCAAAGGCAATTAATAAACAACACCCGTAAAGTGCCATCAGCTGAAGATGAATAGATCACGAGAGCAAACGCGGAACAAGGAATAAAAACAACCCACAACAATACCACAAAGAGTGGCTATTCATTCCTGTACTCTCATTAGTCCTGCCCCTTTATGATGAACATATTGACATTTAGTTCCCTCTTGGGGCTATTTTTAAAAACATCAACACCCGAGTGTACCAACTCCTCGCACACAGGAAATTTTCGATTCTGCAAGGTAAGGTTGTGTTAGTGCTGAATTTTTTGCATCAATAATATTTTGGCACAAATGACAGGTTATCGACATTCTCTAATTTTATTTGCCTTTGAACGTTAAATGTTCTCGTCAGTATGACCGAAATGTGATTGCTGAGTCATCCATATTCGCCACGACAGGAATATATTGAGAGTGGGAGGCGCGGTGGCCTCATGGTTAGTGCGCTCGTCTCCGGATCGAGCGGTCCGGGTTCGAGCCCTGGCCGGGGACATTGTGTTGTGTTCTTNGAGTAGAAATACTCCTAGTCGCTTCATGCTACGGAAACCGGGATAAGCTCCGGCCTGGTGGGCCACTTGGCTCGTATGCAGACTTTACCTTTACCTCTTTTATATTGATGTATCACCTTTAAAGAGTAAACAATCTATTACAAATCCTCAAGAATAGAACGAAGATAAATATCTAAAACGTTCAGTATGTACAAGTGCTTTTAGTCGTTCACCGACAGTACAGAAGATAAGTCAATAAATCTCAACGAGAAAAGTATGCTTCTCCTTTTTCTTGTTTAATTCCTAATTCAATCCTGTAATTTGCTCTTGAAGGGTCGTGAAAAGGATATTACACTTGTTGGGAAATAAGGTATGTATTTGAGCGACAATTATGCAAACTACGTTGCCCATTTTACTAACTTAGAAGACTAGGCAGAAACCAAAATATCTCACCGTATAAGAGCCTTGATACCTGTTCTGGGTGTACACAGTACATGACACAAGTAGCCATGCCAGTATGCACTACGCATTTAGTCTGTCCATCGAGACTCCTACGCTCCGCATGAGGATCAGCCTCAGGAGAAGCTTCACGATGAAAAATTAGAACCTTCCGACTGATTTTTTTCCAGTTACCTCCTGTGTTAATTGTTGTATAAAATTTCAAAAGAGATTTTAAAATCGACGGTCCTCACCGAATATTAGGGCAAAATGATATCTCTTCACTTTTCGAAGAATAGGAAACGCTTTTCCTCCTACACTACAAAAGAAAGGGAAGAAATTCGGGTCTTTAACTGATCCATTGTAATATCCACTAAACTTTCCATATCCCTGTTTTCCTTATTCATTAATTTAAAGAAAGAGTCGCTCTGTAGTAAGATGCCCAATTACACGATGTTCTTCCCGAGTGTTCGTGGAATGTCGATCGAAAATCAATTGTCAATACGAGTGATTGTCAAAGGGTACCCACCAAATGGTGGCGAGCGATTCACTGCATACTAGAACTTAGGAGAACGCGAAAACGCATTGAGATTTGTGTGAGTGAAAATGCAGCTTGGAAATAATCTGGTATTAAAATGCTATAAAGGTTTGAAAGAGTTTGTTGTTATCCAGCCGCAAACGTCTCGTTAATAGTTTTGTTTTTAACGCAAAGCCTTACGTTTTATTGTATCCTTCTAATTTAGCTTAGACCACGGACATGGGAGATACCGCAAGTAAGTTCACCCCAGGTTTAAAGCCAACTGACAGTGATCGTCCACAGAGCCACCAGAAGTATGGAGGAATTCAGGAAGCTTACAAAGAAGCTGTAATTTATGTCAACAAGAACAAGGATGGCGCCTATTGTACTATTGGGCCGGGAAACTGGGTGAAATACTGGAAAAAAGAGGAAAAACAAACACCATTGGAAGTCGAGAAAGTAGAAGAAAACATAATTCTCTGCTACCATGAAGAACTTAAAATAAAATTTCCCGAAGGGGTAGATCCCAAAAAAATGACAGCTTCTAAATATGGCGATTAAGAGACTTATGGAGTTTTCTGAAGAAATTGTTCTTGCACTCAAAGGTGCACCTAAAGCAATATTTTCTGTGATACTTTTAAACGTGCTTGTAGGCCTATAAACGTGCAATGGACATAACCGGTAAAGCTACTCTGTTGGCTTCCTCAATAAGCCTTATGTTGTGTTTCTGCTTGTAAATCAATTCAGATCTCTCCATTGATATGTCAACCAACAACTTAGCAATATAATAATCGATACCATGAATAACTGTTATAAAACACATTCAGGCTTTTCTGAACGATTCAAAAACGGATGATCACTTCGCCTATGTCACGTAACACCAAAATTTTTTTTTGTCTTTTTCATGGAAACAAAAAACCACCTTCATAAATCAATTTACCATGCAGAATTTTGTAAATATGTGAAGTTTCCTAAGAATCCGTTTTAAATGCATGGTAATGTGAGACCCCACACATTTACCAATTTTCTCTGTCATAGAGATGTATGCCAGGAGGTAAGAGCTACACATCACTTTGTAAGAATTGTCAAGTTTGGGGTCAAATTTTTCCCATCCTTTTGTAACCAACTTTTATAAAACATCGCACATTTACTAAATTCGGCATTACAAATTGAGCGGTGAGGGTTTTTTTCGTCTTAATAGAAAAATCTGAAAAGCGTGACATCGTCGAAGTGGTGCTTTGGGTTTTCATGGAAGAGTGGATTAGTTTTACCTTCATGACTGTAAAGCGATATAGAGCTTTGTATATACTCGCTATATAAATAAAGTTATTGTTATTATTTTTTTACTGTTACGAGCTGAAACAATTACTCAGGTGAAATACTTCGTCTTTTACTTAAATGCATGGTGCTGGTTTTTTTTTTTCAATAACCTACTTCCTTGCAACATTTCGATAACGGATTAGAAAGTTTAGAAGAAATTAATCAGTCCGCCTGTGCCTTGTTTCACCTGGCTAGTGGCAGACAATCTGTGTCTCTTTCCATTAGCATTGTGGTTCTATCAAAATAATGCTGCTACACTGAAAAACTAAGAGGATAGTCGTCATCTTCCCCCTCTTTATAAATAAAACAATCTTTTGACAAAGTCGCCTAAAGTCGCCCTAAGTCGCTATCGATTACGCAATGTTAAAAAGGTTTCGACACACTCAAACTGCCCCTGTAGAGGGTTATTAGACTTATAACTGTCATGTTAGGGTAAACTCCACTCCAACCCTACGGAGGAGGAGGCACGATGGCAAAATGGTTGGTGCGGACCCCTATTGGGGATCATTGCATTGTGTTCGTACTCTCATAGTGCCTCTCCTCACCCAGATGTATAAATGGGTACTGGTTACGGAACTAGGCGGGGCATGGTGTAGCAAAGGTAACCTCAATAGGTGCGCTTTTAGTTTTTTTTTTTTTTTTTACACTCGTTCCAAATGCATTGGAGCCATCTAAAACTCCCCTTAAAGGGCCCTAGTCAGCTACACCTTTGTTTTTGTTTATATACAAGAGTTTAGTTATTATATTTTATTCACAGCATGTCAAAGCAAAGAAAATCACTGTGAAACTACTAAAGATAAAGGGACATACTTTCTGTAACACAACTTACAGTAAAGCAATAAGATTTCGCTTCACCATGCAATGTCAAGAATTTTGATGACATGGAAAATAGCAGAGGCTGACTAGGGTCCTTTAAGAAGCTGAGGACCCGACAATTACTGTATTATGCCTCAAACCCATGGCTCCCTTATATAGAAAAAACCTAATATTATAATAGTCCTGCAACTGTCTAGCCCCCATGTTAGCAGGAATGATTTCTGCATGAAGACAATACTTAAATAGGAATGACAATCTGATGTATACTCTCCCACAGATGACTTTTTATTTCTATAAAGTTTTTTTTCTTGTATTTCATTGTAAAAGAGGTAATAAAAAAAGATGACACTCATCAAGAAATATATTAAATATGGAAAGAGATAACAAATGATTATACTGCAATAATTTCATTTAAAGTGCCCATAACTCCAAAATTTTTTATTAGCTTAACAAAATCTCCATATTTTTCTGAGTAAAATACCGCAAGAATTTCTCTGTTTGCTTGAAACCTCGATTTTTTATGGACTGTCAAAGTTCGTCTTTTGTAGCCACACGACCGAGTACTCGGGGCCTGGGAACTAGTGATGTCAAACAAAAAGATTCTCTGCAGCGTCCTTCGGTCATTCTTCGTTTTGGTTACGAACATTCAGTATTCCAAAGCGAAGAACAACGTTTCTTTTGCCTTTTTGATATCGAAACCTATAGTCAAAAGAAGAATTGTCGTATAAACTTACTCTTTAATTCCAGGGGCCTCAAACTTGGCCATTTTGGTATTTTCGATGCGCTCTTTCCATTTCTGGCATTCTTTAAGTTATAGCTCATAATAAAAAAAAAAAAGGAAAAATTTGGTCACGTGACCCCAGCTGCAAAGGGCCTATTGTGAGTTTCTACACGACTTGTCCTAGGTGTAAATGTAAACACTGTGATCGTGGATGGTTACAAAATATTAGCGAGTATTATTGCTGTCGCGAGTTGGATGGATGTGTTGAAGCCTTGACGAGCGAACAAGTCACCAATGATCTCGCACCAGGCATGAAACTAACCTGCATAACCCAGCATCCAGGTTTCAGTCCAGTATGCCTGCAGAAATATAGGCTCGATTTCCGCCGCTTTCTCAAGTCCGGTCTACGGGATCGGTACATTTCACTGACCCCTAGTCCATGGACTACCCCGATGGACCTGGTCCATGGACTACTTGAATGGACTACCCATGGACTACCCTAAATGGACCACCCTGAAATTTGTGGCAAACATAAATTTAACGATGCTAGAAGCCGAACAAAAGATGCGATCAATCGACAAACACAATTACGGAACACTTGCGATGTAACAGATTTAATCCCCAACTAATATTACAACCGAAATAAAGGAAATGAGTTGCTTTTCTCGTTCCCTGTCATGGCGTGAAGAACTGGCTCATAAGTCAGAGATGAATGCCTTACATATGCAAAATGTCCACTTACCATCTAGCGTGCTTTCCAGGTTGTGAGTGACCGTGAGCGACTCGTGGGCGACTACTGCGCCTGCTAGCTACACTCATTTGGCAAGCGGTAGACATGCATGATGGCGGTGTATGGGTGTATGGGCTTATGTGAATGTCGTGTCTTACCATGTAGGTAACAAAAGGAAAACTCGCTCGAATCCAATATTTTGCAACAAAGGTCCAGACGTTAAGGTAGGAAATGTTTGAGGATTAAATCGCAACTGTTCTGATCGATCGCATCTTTTGTTCGGGGTCGTTAAAACTGTTACATTGCAAGTGTTCCGTAATTGTGTTTGTCGATCGATCGCATCTTTTGTTCGAGTTCTAGCATCGTTAAGTTTTTGTTTGCCACAAATTTCAGGGTGGTCCATTTAGGGTAGTCCATGGATAGTCCCTTCACTTTGGGCTGACACCTTGTTGTGGTGGTGGAACTTGTGTGTCTCATTGACTCAGAGAGATGTGCCGGAGGGATTTTGGTCCCTGGCAGGTCTAACCATGCCGGATTGGTCGAAGGGTAGAGGCCAGACGAAGAACAGCCCCTGGTCCTCCAGGTTGGGGGGTTGGGCGGCGGGCCGATAACCCGCTCCCGGAAAAAGAAACATATTACAGAAACCGAAACTAGAATTACCACTGCGCCCTATCGGGAAGCAGGGGTACAAGATGT